ACTTTTAGGCTGCTCTGAATCTTTGGGAGCAAAGGTAAGTCTCTTCTTGGATTTACTGACATTTTTCAAACCTGGATTTGAATTTTGTTTTAATTTTTCTTTATTAACAGAGCGCATGACTCTGAGTTTTCTTCCCATTAGCTCAGAATTGTTTAATTTCAGAGCAAGATGAACAGCATCTGTGTTCTGGAAAACAAAGAATAACATTAATTTCTACCAGAAGCTAATCTCCAAAGAGACCAGTAAAATATTGGCCCTAATAGAAGAGTATAATCTTCAAACTTGCACAGAGAAGACCCTCCCATTTCTAGGAAGATCAATTCCCTGTGTTTTTTGGGGACAAGGTCTACACAAGTTTTTCTAGAGGCACTCAAGCTGTCTCAAAATTTTCAGGTAACTCACAATCATATACACTCCATTTTTTCATTATGAGGAGTTCTGAATGATTAGCCATATGCAACCTTTAAACCAAAAACATCTCCTTTCCATAAACCACCTTTTACAAAAGTCCTGCTCTATGCAGAGGGCAAAGAAATCTCCATCACAGAACTTAAGATGTAATAATAGGTACCCTATAAGGTTAGATCTAAGTCTAAAATTCTATTAATAATTATTCTAATACAGAAAGTTAATACTAACTTGAAAGTCCAAGAGGTACTTGTTATAGGACTGAAAGAGCAGGAATACACTCCCAACTTTTCTAAAAAGCTACCTTGGAAGCCCTATTATCAAATCTCCAAAATAGTCACATATCCTAGAAATACTGTATCACAATGAGGAACTAGCCTAAAGAAGTGATCTAAAATGCAAATTAACATTTGAGAAAAAACATTACCATTACAATTTCACTATTACAGAGAACACTGCTACTGTCCAATATCAGAGTGGCAACAATATAAATCATGTTGTATCACTCACAGGACAGAAATCAGGCTGCAGAATTTCAGGTTCATAGATATTATGCTTTATAAACAAAGACACTAGGAAAAGAACCCCTGAAATACGTTATTGCTGAAGGAAGAAAAATTTAAGTGCTACCAAATAGTAAGAATACTCTTTAACTACTTAGTAGTATTAGGCAAGAAACATTGGTTAGGGCTGGAGAGAGAGCTCAGTAGAATAAGTGCTTGCCTGGCAAGCAGAGGGTCCTGAGTTCAATCCCTAGTACTGCAAAAACAAACTTACAAACAAAAAAGAAACATTGGTTAAATTAGTGAACTAAATGTAACTAATTTGTGCAAAGACTTCAAAATTTTGTGGGTACTTATTTTATCCATTACAGTGACGATGGAGATTAAGATATATAATCTCATTAATTTACAACATCTTAATAGAGGTATGAAGAAAAAGAGAACTAGAACATTTTTGGCAAGGTGTAATTCTAGAAAAGTGATTATGACAGGTTATAGATTTAGGGGTTTTTTTGTTTTGTTTTTTGGCGCTACTTGGGATTAAAAATCAGAGCCATCACACTGAGCTATGCATAACCCTGTTTTTTACTTTGAGATAGGGTCTCAACTGAGTTGCCCACAGTGGGCTCACACTTGCAATCTTCACCTGCCTCAGCCTCCCAGACTACTAAAAAATACAGGCACATAACACCATGCCCAGCATAAATTTAGTTTTAAGTCAGATTTTGAGGATCAAAATAAGTTACATCTGAATGACAATCTCTCTTAGTTCTTTCCAAGGGACAGTGACAATGCATTAGTCTCTCATACCTCAAAGAGCACATAGCCAAAGCCTTTGCCAACTCCTGTAACTGGGTCTCTCACAATCCTCACTGCCACAATACTGCCACAGTCCAGAAAGTGTTCTTCCACAGCAGTTTCTTCAACTTCTAAAAAAAAATTCACCACAAAGACTTAACTTTTTCCTTAGAAAGATGGAGGTGTTTGATAACACAGTAGGTTTTGAACACAACCTCATAAAAATATATCATTACACTGTGTACTTCCTAAATTTAGTCTTAAAACATTAATACTGCATATTCACTTTTATTTTGTTACTGAAAATACTATATATTTGTTTAAGCAAACTTACTGTAAGGGAGATTTCCAACAAATACTGATCTCTTATTCCTCTGAAACACAAAGAGTTAATAAAAATCACTCACAGGCCCAGAAAAATAGAAGCTACACTATCCCCTATCCCACATTCTTCCACATCTGATGGGGGCAGATCAGCCACCCCTGACTAAGCCACACAGTTGATCCTTATTTCTATGTCTCCCATCTTCCCTTTCAGCTAACAGTGAGCACCAGAAGAAGACACATTTCACTCATAGCAAGCACTGACACAGTGATGCTCAGAGAAGGCTTGCTGTACTGGATGGGGGAGGAGGGGATCATTGCTGTAAAGAGCCCTAGAACAATTATTTCATGGGGTTTGTGGCCATGTGGTGTTTGTTGCAACTATTCACCTTTGTAGTCTGAGTTCAAAAACAACCCAAAAGTGACACAAAAAGAGCAGTGTGGTTGTATGTTGATAAAATCAAATGGGTGGTAGCTGATTTGGACCTTAAGCCTTCATTTGCTGACCTTATGGTATATTCTTAGTGAAGCCAGGCTTTTCATTCGGGTTGCATTCCTTTCTCAAACAGGCTACACTGATGCTGACAGAAACACCAGATAGCTGAGTTAAGCCTACAATATGTCCTTCATTCATCTCCTGCTACCTTTATCAAATGTGTATCTTGTCACATCACTTCTAGACCAGCTCCTGGACAAAAATCCAGACTCCTGTACATGCAGCACAAAAGACCAAGGTTGCCTAATTTGGCTTCTACTATTCGCCTAACAACTCTTCCTTCCTACCTACTTACCTAGTTAACTATTCCAAGCAAATTAGAGTCCCCCTCACCCACATTTATACTGTTTTGTTTCTTCCCAAATATTGCCATTGCCTTTTAATTTTTTTGTCTCTCAGAAAATACTCTTAAAAAAAGAAAATGCCTACTCATCTTCAAAGACAAGTCAAACACAAGACCTATTCTCTTGGAAACTATCCTTGCCCTTCTTCCTGACACATCTCTAAGTCAAGTAACCACCTGCACAATTGACAAAGCATCTTACAAACTTGACGATGTTTGTCACAAAGAAGAGCCTTACGCTAAGCCTCTGCTCATCTCCCCACAGACCCTGTGAGAGCTGAGACCATTCCTTAGGAACAGTGTACCTGACAGAGAGTGTTCTTGATACAGCTTATGTCTAGAAGTTCCCCAAAGCCTCACAGTCATATGAGAACATTTCAGAGGCGGCTTGATCTAGTGTGTGATTACTAAATTAGTTCACTGACTGATGTGGCATAGTCCTCGATATGATTACCAGTGCCCTACCACAGGAATGGGTAGTCTGAATAAAATATAAAGGTCAGAAAGAGAGCTAGTGTCACCACTTGTTGCATGCTGCTTTGCTGTCTCCTGCCTGCTTGCTATGGACTATTTCTTCGCTGTAATCCCCCTCTGCCAAGACACCCTACCCTGGAGCTAGCCAATTATGGGCTGAAATATCTACATACTGTGAGTTAAAATAAACCATTCCTCCTTTTAATATGTAGGTATTGGATACTCTGTATCAGCAATGAGAAAAAAGCAACTAAGACAATTCTCAAAAGCTGTCTGATGAATAACTGAATTTTCTAAGATGTCAGTCTAAAACAAGATCTTTACCAGATAGCTATTGGATCCTCCTGGCTAACTTCCTATACTGACAGTGGTGGATAGGGAAACACACCTTTAAATCCGAGATGACTTGCTTTCAAACTAATGCTGACCCAAGTCCCATGCTTCTCTTGGTACCAACTCTGGACCCCAGAGGATGAAGGCCACTTCTTCCTATTCCTGTAATGTTCTACTACTGACTCTACCTCCTTCCAGCACAACTGAGAAAAATATATTCCCATAAAAAGGTAGAGCTAAGCTCTTTAAACAAATCAATTACTACTCACAGATGAAGTTTCAGATGCAAGATCAACTCGAATACGAAATCCATCTGCAATCTGGGTCCCATTTCTGTTATAAATACAAGAGAAAATTTCTATTAAAAATGAGCACCAAATTACTCTAAGATAACTGCTCCAAAGTGAAGTAAAAGAAATAAAAAACCAGAGCCAGAAAAATAGCTCAGTGGCAGAAGCACTTGCTTGGCAGACGTAAGGTCCTGAGTTCTATCTCTGGTACCACCAAAGGAAGGAAGAGAGAGAGAGGGAGGGAGGGAGGGAGGGAGGAAGGGAGGGAGGGAGGGAGGGAGATAAGATAGGAAGGTAGGTAGGTAGGAAGGATGGATAGACAGATGGGAGGGAGGGAGGGATAGATAGATAAGAGCGAACGAACTGCACAGGGACCAGGGTTTGATCCCCGGCACCACATGCCAAGCCCTTTATCAAGTTGGCCACCAAGACCAGGCATGGTGGCACACACCTGTAATCCCAGCACTGGGGGAAGCCGATCACTGCATAGTGAGACCTTGTACCCGGAAAAAAAAAAAAAAAGAAAAGAAAACCTAGGTGTGGTAGTATACACTTACTATCTCAGTACTCTTAAGAGACTGAGACATGAAAATCACGTTTAAGAAGAACCTGGGCAACTTAGTAAGACTGTGTTAAAATTAAAAAAATAGTGGGTTGGGGGAAGAGATGACATGCATCTACATGTTGTGGGTTTTGCTCAATGCAAAGGCCCTGGGTTCAATCCTGTCTGTCTGTCCGTCTCTGTCTCTGTCTCTGTCTCTGTCTCTGTCTCTGTCTCTGTCTCTGTCTCTGTCTCTGTCTCTGTCTCTGTCTCTCTCTCTCTCTCTCTCTCTCTCTCACACACACACACACACACACACTCCTCATTATAGGCAACCCCTTTCAGGTTCCCTCCTGTCTCTCAGGAACTACTACTATTCCCCATTCCTTTTCTCTAATAAAATTCCCTATACTTGGGGGCCTGCCCATTAGCTCAGTTGTTTAAGTGACTGCTTAAAGCAGTCAGGCTCAGATTGCTGTAGTTCGATCCCCAAATACTCATGCCTTACCAAACCAGCCCTGAAGGCATCCTGAGTCAGCACCCCCTCAAAAAAAAAAAAAAATCCACCTATACTTAAACAGACAGTTCCCTTCACAATAATTCTGTTAGAGGGGCTGGTGAGATGGCTCAGTGGTCTAAAGCACCTACTTAGAATCAAGCTTACAAAGCACAGGGACCGCGGTTCAATCCCCCAGCACCACATGCCAGCCAGCCCCGCCCCCAGGAGCCCAAACACACACACACACACACACACACACACACACACATAAATAAATATTAAAAAAAATAATAATACTTCTGTTAGAACCTCAGAGGTAAAATTACCTTTTCAATGCTTTTGTAGCAGCACACTCATCCTTAAACACAACATAAGCATTAATGTTTTTCTGATCAGGATGAATCGTACGCCTATAACAATAAAGAAGGTAAAATTTGTTAATCTCAAAGTCACTACAGTAAGTTTAGCTTGCTTTCTACTATTAACATGTGTCTTGAAAGGCAGTAGTTTTAGTTTGAGTAATAAGTCAGAACAACAACAACAACAACAAAAAAAATACCACAACTTCTAAAGACAGTGGTAGGAACACAAGAGCCTACATGCACCAAGACCTGAGAACAACACAAGGACTAGATATTACCACTTTAGCTGCTGCTCTGAATCCAGCACACTCGATGAATTTGGCTTTTCCTCTTTTTACTGTACAATTAAATACCCTGGTAGAAAAGCACACAACCTCATACTGCTTAGTGAATTAGCCCATGGCTCTACCAACCATGGCCTAGCCACAGCCACAGTGTCTCTGTGGTCCTTCCTAAGTTCAGGTCCTCCTTTCTTCCAAAGGAACCACCACCAACCCTGCCTTTTTATTTTGGTAGTAGGAATCAAACTCAGGAACTTGCACTTGACAGGCGATGCTACACACTGAGCCCCAGTCCCTGCCTTATTTTTGTATGCACCAGTCTCAGTTACTCTTTTCTCACTGTTGGGACAAATAGCATACACTCAAAATGAAGGAAGGAAAGATTTATTTAGCTCAGTTACTGGAGGCTTCAGTCCATACTCAGCTGGCTCCAAGGCACAGAAGCACATGGCAGCAAAGTGCAGAGAGCAAAAGGGGAGCAGCAGCAACAATGGCTACAAAGAGGAAGTCTGTCTCTCTCAAGTTGCATTCAGGCTATCTGCCCCACGCTGGGTGTAGTACTCACACCCATAATCCCAGCAGCACTCACACCCATAATCCCAGTGGATCATGAGTTAATCACAAACTCTAGAAGTCTGCCCCATAACTGCATGAGGTTTAAGGAGACAAATACACACAAACCATAACAGCACCACTTTCCTGAATTTACCTACCTAATTCTATCACCCCTGTGGTTATTCCTCAATATTACCTTTGGTCTTATCCATTCTTTGACCCTGTGTCTAGAACAATTTACTTAACAGGATTGTCCCTGCCATCTCTTTTTTATCTTACTGTTTGACGTGCAGAACTGCCTGGATTTTGCTGTTATGACTTTACTTTCTTTTTTTTGAGACAGGGCCTCACTATGTAGTACATGCTGGCATTCAACTCACTATGTAGCCCAGGCTGGCTTGAAACTTATGGCAATCTTCCTGCCTCTGCCTTCTGTGTGCTGGAATTACAGGAGTGTGCCATCATACCTGGGTAACTGTCACTCTTTTAATGACTGTAGCTGCTGTGTTCAAAGTTTATACCCATGAACTCACTAGGTTTCCAAAATGGTGATTCACGTTAGATGTGTAAGTCAGCAGAATTTTGTAGGGGCTGGGGCTATATAGCTCAGTGCAAAATTGAGACTAAAACCAAAATGACAAACATTTAGCAAGTTTATCATCAAAGGACATCCAATACCAAGCACTGGTAAGGATGTGAAGTAGTTAGAAGTTTCAGCTACTGCTGATGGGTATATAAAATGGCACAATCACTGTAGCAACCTGGCAGTTTCTTAGAGAGCTCAATGTATCCCTATCACAGGACCCAGCAATCTCATCCCTAGGCATTTTCTCAACAGAAACGATCTGCAAACAAGTATTTTTAGTGTCTATTCATGATAGTCAAAAGCCAAAATTTTCCTGAACCGGTGAATAGCTAAATTCTGATACTTTATGGAATACTACTGAACAATGGAAAAATAAGTCACTGATACATGGCTTTTGTGATACATGGTATTTGTGAACCACCAAACTATTATGCTGAACAAAAGAAGCTAGACAAAAGTACAGTACTGGGCTGGGTGTGGTGGCACACACCTGTAATCCCAGGAGGCTGAGACAAGAATATCACTATGAATTTAAGTCCAGCCTGAGTACGCTCAAGGCAGCCTGAACTGCAGAGCGAGAACCTCTCTCAAAAACGACAAAAAAACAAACACACTGAGTCTGAAGAGAGTGCTTAATATGCTAGGAGTTCCATTTATAGGACCTAAAAAAACAAAACCAAAAACCCAAAAACAAAGAGTACAGCTGGTAAAGGTGTAGAAATAATACTTCTATGAGATTGCAGGCAAATTTACAAATGGAAACCATCTTGGTTTTTGAAATAAGGTCTCACTACATAGTCCAGAATGGCCTGGAACTTGCAACTTCCTGCCTCAGCCAACCAAATAATTGGTATTATAGGGATGTACCACCAGCACACCTGGTTTTGCAAATACCCCTTTTGCAAAGTAGTTCTACAACTTTATCCTATGAGCCAGTTAGTACTAGTACAAAACTAAATACGAAAATAGGAAAGCATGAATACCACTGACTTAAAAAGTAGTGGCTACAGATATGGCTCAATAGAAGTGCTTGCCTAACATGCAGCAGGCCCTAATTTCAATCATTAGCAACCCTGCTTTCAAAAAAGTCACATGTTGGGGAAAGAATATGCATGTTAATTATCTGAAGATGTGTAAAATATCTCTGGAAGGTCAGACAAAAAGTAACAGCCTAGTGCCAGCTTGTGTAAGGGAATTTGCTAGGTATATGAAGGAAAACTTCCACTGCATATACTTTTATGCTTTTTTAGTTTTGAACAGATCGATACGTTTCACTAGCTGTTCAAATAACTGACTTCAATCATTACAACTGGGAAGAGGACAGATTGATGGCAAAAATAGTACAAATTTCATTCTTTGGGTACAACACCTCCAATCTTCTTAGTAATACAATTATATATTCTAGTTAGAACCTTTATTTCTGTCAAAATTTAAGTTCTTGTATTTCAGCCTCATACAAAATGAACACTTATGTAACTCTAAAAAAAAAAAATGGGCTTTATCTCACCAAGTATCCTATTTCCATCAGCAGCTGCATTAATACCTTATATCCAGGACAAGCTACAGGTTTGGTTACCACAATAAACAAAAGAGTGTGGGAGTCAGCAGATAACTCATCAACCGGCAGTGATACACCTGACACTGTGATGCTTATGAGGAAAAAGCAGCCAAGACTTGGTTCACCAAGTAACTCCAGAAAGAACTCCAAATTAGGAACAAATGAAGTCATCAAGATATCCAACAGGAACAAAGTGTTTCTTTAGAATATTTCATCCTTAGTACATTTCATCTAATTTGAAGACATCTCTGATTGTAAAACACTTTTTTTTTTTTTTTTTTGAGGAACCGGGGATTGAACTCAGGCCCTTCTATTGAGCTATCTCCCCGGCCCTTAAAACACATTTTATATACCATTAGGAAAGAAAAAACTACCTGAGCATGAAACTAATTTGAAACCCTGAATAAAGCTGAAAGGTAAATATAAATAAATCTGTTTGAGAAGAGAAAGTGAGGACATGTATATGTCTCATTCTTCGGCAGAAAAGGAGAGCCCCTGAGAATTTGATTCTCAAGCCACACTATGTATAAGGTCCCCAGTCATCAAAGAGACACTGAGTAGTCACAGGCTAACCACCAGGTGACTGACCATGGAAAGTACAAGGTACCTGACTTTCATTCAGATGCCTGTTATTCTGATAGAAGCTATGAGGTAATCCCCAAAACTGAAGAAACACAGTTTTCAGGATCTGTACTAGAAAATCTGGGCACAAAATTTCCTTATGGTCTTCTAAGCACTATGAACATTCTTGAAATTTCTTGTGGCACAACTTCTGGTAAATAATTTTAATATTTTCTATACCTATAATTTACATTAAGGCTTTAAAGATAAACATCTGATAGTTTTTTATTTTATTACAGACACAAGGAAACAGTCAAGCAAGCTAACTATCCAAATACAAAATCTATGAAATTATTCATTAAAGGTGTCAAATTTTAGCCAAAAAGGAAATGAGTTTAAGATGATTCCTTTCCTCTAATTATAAACTTACTTGCAAAAAAAAAAAAAAAAAACTTACTTGATCGCTGCCAATTTTTTGGATACAGTTCCCTCTGCTGGAATCTTTTGAGAGAGGGAGAGGAAGAGAGGAAGAGAGGGAGAGAGGGAGAGAGGGAGAGAGGGACAGAGGGACAGAGGGACAGAGGGACAGAGGGAGAGAAAGAACATTTGAAATATCTCAAATTAATATTTTAATTAAAACATAAATATCAAACTGTATATTATGACTAAAAACTTTCTAGGAAATAACTGTGAAAGGGACTTCCTGGACTATGAAGAAAAAGTCCCAAAACAGCATCACACTCCAGATTGAACAGGCAGTAGCTCTCAAATAATCTAGAAAGAAGACATGATTTTCACATTGTGTGGATGACAGAAGGGGAAGAAGCAAGAAGACAATGATGCTAAAGATGTGCAAAAATGAAACCAAAATAATTTTATAAATTAAGTGTGGGGGAAAAAACAATGTTGACATCTTTTTATCATCCTCGAGAAGCTGAGGTATGAAGATTATAAGTTTAAGGTCATCTGTGGAGGCCTTAACACTGTGGAGTCCCAGGCAGCCTTGAACTCGAGACTATAGCCCAGGTAGACCTCAAATTCTCAGCATTCTTGTTCAAACTCTTGAAGACTGAGCTAGGGAGATAGTTCAGCAGTCTAAGTGCCTGCCTTGCAATTGCAAAGACCCGAGTTCTATCCTCAGTACTGCACACCATGGCGGCCACCAAAACCAGGCATTGTGACACACACCTGTTATCCCAGCGCTGGGAAGGCCAAGACAGGAGGATTGCTATGAGTCTGAACTACACAGCAAGACCCTGCATCAAATAAATTAAAAAACAAAACCCCTCAGGTCTGACTTTATAGGTGTGCCTCAAGTTAATATATGACATATAAAACTTCACTCATGTCTCTAAAAAAAAGCCTATATAGTCTCACTGGAAAAATATATTCTATTTGGATCTTTAAATTGAGCAAGTCACAGAATCCCATTTACATTCTGGATCACTTAATCTTCATTTATGTATAGTTTTTTGTAAATTTTAAAATTTCAATTAGTACATTTTCATGGTACATAATGATTACACATTCATTGTGGGGAATTGACATGTATACAACACAACCTACTTTTTACTTCCCCTCCCTCTCTCACAGAGCTTTTAAGAGTCAGTAGACTAAAGAATATCTTATGGGGGCCAGGAAGATAGCTCAGTAGAACAGGCGCTTGCCTGGCAAGCACAAGGTCCTGAGGTCAATCCCCAGTACCGCAAAAAAAAAAAAAAAAAAAAAAAAACTTATGGAAGAAGCAGAAATTCAAGTTAACAACTATGCAATGTGCCAAATGGGGCAGGTCCTGAATGGACAGTAGCCCTCCAACTCAGTCTAGAATCATTCATGCATGCAAATCTCACCCAGGGCAGTGCTTATGAACTTCTAGAAAATATTTATTTTCCTTATTTATCTGCTAGTTTATACAGTAACACTAAAAAATTGAACTCTCTTCTGTGTACCTTACTCAAATCAGCATCATACAAATTCTCATAACAGAAAAACACACATGCTTGAGAAATCTCTGAATATTCAACATGTGAGTGACAGTCATCAAAACATTTACCAGAAGGGGCCGGAGGTTTAGTTTTGCGGACTAAGCGCTTGCTTAGGTCAGCACAGAGGCCAGGGTTCAATCCCTGTCTCCACATGCCCCACCAGCCCCACCCCTGGGCCCACTAAGCCTATGGATGGAGTCCGGGCATGGTGGCACGTGGCTGTAATCCCAGCATTAGGGAGGCAGAAATCAGGAGTCTGGGCTGTGTAATGAGACCCTGAACAAAACAAAACAAAACAAAACAAAACAAAACAAAACAAAACAAAACAACTTTACTGGAAGTGTTTTTGGAGCTCTGAAGGACTTATATCCTATGATTGAAGATATTAATAAATATAACACAAAGCAAGAAAATACAAAAATTATTTTATAAAGTATTTTATTTTAAAAATAAAAAAATTTTCCTTTGGGGTAAAAAAGTGGTATAAAATATCAAAAATATTTTGAAGTAGTAGTATTTTACCTGTGAACTGAAAAATGCATTTTCCCCCCACAGGTAAAATGGGATGTAAGAAGGACTGTATGCTAAGAGTGACAAATGTGTATATTCCCAGATACTCAGAGTTGGAGGACAGCCCACACCAGTGACAGCAAACCAATGGCATGTGTGCCACAGCAGGCTGTTTGTATCACTGAAAACTCTAGAAGGTTTGACATCACTGTCTTAGGCAATTCAGCAAGACAGTGTCTCAAAAAGTATAATGTAAAGCACTAAAGAAGTAATTCAGTAGTAGAGTGCTTGCCTACCATGCATTAATTTTCCAGAGCTACAAAATTAATAAATAAACAAAACAAAAGGCCAGGAAAAATGGGTTACAGAAAAATACAAAGGTAAGAAAACCATAAAACTAGGAACACACTGTCTGGCTAAGACTTAAGGACAGATTTCACTGACATTGAAAAGAAATCAGGCTTTTACAAGCCTTAAATACATACTTAATGAACACAAGGTGCAAGTGCTGGACACCATGAGGATAACCAAGAAAGACTACTAGTAATCAGTGCTGCCAGTGTAGAAGGGGGATAAACAGGGAACTACACTTACACTACAGGGGATCAAGTACTACAATGGTGGATCTGAAGAGTACATAGGCATGGCTCTGGGCAGGGAAGAAGCTGGGCAGGCTCCTTTAGGTGAGAAGGTAATGGCTGGGGCAGGGATAAAAGGTGGCAAGGCAAGAGTTCCAGGAAAAAAGGCTTTAGGAAGATCAGGTTGACAGTGTTGTGTCACCTACGTGTGCAGCTTGGTGCCACTAAATGACAGACACAACCCGTAGGCAGCTTAGATTGGGGTGGTGGATAAAAGTAAATGGCCATTCTGCAGCTGGAGTACCACCAAGATACTCCAACCCCTGCACTAAGCAAGAGTCTGAAATAGAGAAATGGGACTCAGAAGAGGAGATAAGAGTATGAAACAAATATATTAACAGAAATTACAGAGACTGAAAATCTTGGCAAATGTCTCTTAGAACAAAAAGCAGTTTTGGCTGCTGAATATTTGGCAATATTTAGTTATTTTTGGTTGTTAGAACTGGGGTGGGAGGGGTGAAAGCATCTAATGGGTTAAGGCCAAGGATATTATTATACCTCCTACAATAAACAGGGCTGCTTTCAACAACTTTTCTAGCCCAGAACAACAATAGCATGAAGGCTGAGAAACCTTTTTCTTGTTTTTGAAACAGGGTTTGGCCGCATAGTTCAGGCTGGCCTTGAACTCACTACGTAGCAAAGACTGGCCTTGAACTCACAGCAATCATCCTGCTTTGGCCTTCCCAGTGGTAGGAATACAACCATGTGCCACAGTGCCAGGCCAGAAACCCTATTTTACAGAATCACATAAAACAGCAATTAGAAATGTGGATTAGGTATTTCCTGAATTCTAGTACACATTAATTATAATAAAAAGTGTTCAAAAATACATACTGAGATGTTAACTATGGAATAATAAAATTAAAAACTCAATTATGGGAACTCCAAGTACCATTTGCAACAATGACACCAAACTCCCATAGTGGTTAAGATTCCAGAAATGCTACCCTAGAAGTGTCAGCTTTTCTGATCACTCTATTGGTATAGCAAATAAAAGTCATTTATTCATGCTCCAAAATCACTGCTGGTACTGCTAACAAGGGTATCCCTATATTAGATTATTTAACACGTCTAAGAGCAAAACACACCAAAAGCCACTCTTTCCCTGGCTATATTTACACCTATTAAAAAGTCTGGTGCTATTCTGCATCCCTGGTACCAAGAACCCAGTGGGTCTGGCTAAAGGTAAAATCTTTTAAGATAATGAAATTTTAGGGAAAGAGAAGACATACCAAAGAACGAAATCGTACAGATTCTATTTGTCCATATTCTTTAAAAAATGACTTCAGTTTCTAAAAAAATAAAACGTACATTAGTTCACTTTCAGAACGTCAAGTGTCACAAAACAAAATAACCAAATGAATCATCTTTTATGGATGGCATTTATTAACTTTATTGCGAGGGACGGTACTGGGGATCGAACTCAGGACCTTGTGCTTGCCAGGTAGGTGCTTATTTTAAGAATAATTCAGGGGGCCAGCCAAATAGCTCAGTGGATTTAAAAACCTGCAACCTGGAGCAGGGGCTGGGGGTTCAATCCCCAGGCCTGCTGTGCTAGCCCCGCCCCCAGGGCCAGCACTGAGACAGCAAATAAGACTGGGAGTGGTGGCACTCGCCTGTAATGCCAGCTCTGTAAACAGGAGGAGCACTACAAGTCTGATCTAGTAGTGACAACCTGAACACCCTATAGACCCTTCCCTAAAAATACCAAAAAAAAAAAAAAAAGAAAAAGAAAAAGAACAATTCAGAAAAGCAAATGACTACTTAGTTGGGACAAAAAGTTTTACTGAAACTTACAGAATAAACAAAATGTAACTCAATATTAGTGTCTATATATCAAATATTTTTTATTCTTTTCTTTTTATCACATGTAAGTTAAGGTTAGACTTATCTATTCCATATAGTCTTTTCTGATTTTTTCACATTAATTTAAAGAAGTGAATTTTAACAATGTTTATATTGTTGGGAGAAATTACCTAGGAGGAAGTAACCAAAATTATGGCATAAAACAAAACATGTGATGTCCTACAAAATAACCACAAACCAAATGCTAGCAGACAAAAGGTGAGATAAAGGGAAAAACCCAATAGTTTTTGTACTGTTTTATTTTTAGGGAAGTAGATTATAATTGTTGTTCAAAATCAACATAAAACACTACTTCATAAGCACAGAAAGCAAAGGGGATGTTTTCAGTAAACTGAACCCTACACAACCTAAGAAGTTTAGGATGCATTCATTCTTTTACAGAGTGAGCATTTAGTAAGCCACTACTAGGCTCGATGCACCCTCTTGTATAATATAGATCAGTAAAGAAAACAGATAATTGTCTCTGCACAAAAGAAGTTTCCATTCTAGTGGCATACAGCAGAAGATAAGCCTAGAAGAAACAGGCCAGAGAGGAAGCCACTGCAATAACTGAACTGTGATCTGCAAAAGTCTGAATTAGGGCAGGGATTACAGCGATGGGAGGGAATATTAAGATCAGTTTACAGTAGTATGAAATCTGTCATCACTGACAATGAAGTCACCTCAGTGGCTTCTTAGTTACGTGCTTATTCAATAAATGAAGAATAAACAAAAGTTAATTTCTGTGAATTTTTACCACAAACCAAATAAAAACTCACCTTTTTATTACATGTGACAGGCAAGTTCCCAACAAACACAGTCCTCTCATTTTTTAATTTCTCTTCTTCTTGGTTGACTGGGATCTTCTTTCTTTGACTTCCATCTAAGTTGTGATCTACATCAAGTACTTTTCTACCTGCTACATTAACAGTAGATTGAGATTTTTTCCCTTTCTGTCCTTGTTTTTGGAGAATTTCTTCTTCTAAATCAGCACTTGCTAAACCATTTTCCCTACATTTTAAGGTAAAAACAAAGATAAGAAAAACAATCATGAAAGTCAGAATTTTACAAAGCACTGTTCAATACTCTTGGTTAAAACTTCATCACAAAAATATTTAGCAATATTGGGGCCAGGGAGATGGCTCAGTGGAATAAGTACTTGCCTGGCAAGCTCAGGGGCCTGAGTTCAAACCCCGGTTCCGGAAAAAAAAAAAAAAAAAAAAATTTAGCATTATCAACAGAATGACTAGTACTTTTGGAAAACAAATTCTGCACCTCAACATAAGACTGACAGTCCATAGTAGTAGCACCAAGGTTCAACTGAAAGCCAGCTTATAATCTAAAGCTCTTCAACATTTATTTCATACTCTATCAAAATCTAATTGCATTCTCTGCTCTAGAATCTAGGACAGTACAGCATTTGCAGGGAATAAAAATAAAAAGTTAAGTGCTTACCAAACATAACCTAGTAAAAAGAATCTAGACAATTAAAAACAAATTTATAATTTATAATTCTGTAATATTTAAAGGACTGCTTACCAAAAAAATTCTGAAATGGCAAATGCAATATAAAGTATTGGAATAAATGGATACATAGGCCTGATGTAATCCAAAAGCAGAACTAGATGGTGACTATAGACTGAGGAGAAAAAACGGGCAGTCATAAAATGATTTATTCTTCAACAAATACTGGGCTGCCACACTATTCTAGATTCTCAAATCACAAGGCTTTCACACTATTCTAGATTCTCAAATCACAAGGCTTTCAAAAGTATAATTTTTTAAAAAAAGGGCATGTTGCAATGAGCCTTGCACTCAGGAGTCTAACTACATAGCAAGACTCTTTCAAAAGAATCAAACAGAAAAAGTATAGTAGAAAGACATCTACAAGTAGTGGCCCGGATTCAACCCCTGGTGTGCCATGCTGGTCCCACCCCTGGGGTACGCTGAGACGGCAACTGAGACTGGGCATGGAGGTGCATGCCTGTAATCCCAGCTCTTGATAGGCTGAACACAGGCAGATCACTATGAGTCTGATCTATGTAGTGAGACCCTGTAGACCCTTACTAAAATAAAAAATAAAGACAGCCAAAGTTCACACAAAACTGGTAATAGCTAATGGCTAGGTACCTCAGTGGTACAGTATTCACTTAACGGCAAGACCCTGAGTTTGATTCCTATCACTACCACTGATGGTGGGGACAACAGCTAGAATACATAAGACAAACAAGAAAAACAAGAACAGCTTCTCATAGGAGGAAGGCAGTATCTGGGACAATCAGTCCTCAACAAATGTAGACTAATATTCCTCTTCCCTAACACCAATCAGTCCACTAATGGAAGAGTCCATCTCTAGTGTTTTATTCATCATGGTATACAACTAGCAGGAAGGGAAAGAAATACAACCATATGGTAATGTTAGTTCCAGGTCAATAAAGAAATTCCTTCTACGTTATGCAAAAGATGATGAGGAGCCACTAGACTTAGTGCCTAAAAAGATCATTTAAGGTAGCAAAGAGAAAGACAGGCAGAGAACAAAGTTAGAGATGGAACTCTTAGTAAGAATGGTTACAGCTCTTTGTATCTAGGAAGAAAACAGACCAACCAGAGCAGGGGTGGAAAGCAGAAGATACAGTAAAGATCATTAAGAGACAGTTTCAAAGTGAGAGTGGTAGAGTACAACTGTAACACTAGCACTCTGAGTAGTGGAGGCAGAATGAATAAAGTTCAAGCACAGCCTAGTTAAATTAGCAACTTAGAGCCTGTCTCAAAATAAAAAGGTCTGGGGAAATAGCTCACAGCAAAGGTCCTAAGTTTAATTCTCCTTGCCCCAGTAGTATCCACCCCACACAAAAGACCAATCAACCAGGCAATGTACCTAAAATGCCACTAAGGAGGATGAAGCAAGAGGACAGGTTGAGCTCAGGAGCCCCATGTCAATCTAGGTGACATCATGAGACCTTGTCATTGAAGAAAAAAAAAAAAAAGTACAGAAGCATTAAGACTTCAAAATTCACAAGCTCATAACTTCCAAGCCACTACCTTAGGAAACAGAAAGCCAGCTGGTATCATTTAAGTAGAAGATTAGGATTAATGAGGCTGATGATTCCTCTATTAATGAGGCTGATGTTTCCCTGTGTGTGTCTCTTAGTATTGGGATTTCAATCCAAGACTTTTACACTGACCTCTCTCCCTACCCATCCCTACCCCTTTTCTTTTCAGATAAGGTTTTGCTATGTACTTCAGGCTGGCCTCAAATTTGCAGCACTCCTCTTGCTTCAGCTCACAAGTGTTGGGATTACAGGTATGTACCACCATACCCAGCTCCCAGGCTTTGTTTATTTACTTATTTGTTTAGCCATTTATTTAGAGTCAGAATCTTGCCAAGCCATGAAGTTTCCAGGCAGGACTTGAACTTGCAATCCTCCTTCCCCCAGCTCCCACAGGTCTGGTATTATACATATGTACCATTCTGCCTAGCCTGTTTACAGCTTTCTTAACTTGAAGTGCACATGGTCTCTACAAGAGTGAGTACCATCCAGCCAAAAGATAAACAGGTCTGGAGATTAGCACAGAGAACCAAGTGGGGACACATACAATGAAGGGTGAAAAAGGTCATGAGATGATCATAAACAAGAATGCTAAGTGAAGTCAATAACTGAAAAATCAGAAAACCACCCCATGTTATCACTGAAAAGCAACAGACAATCAAGGGAAGAAAATCAACAGAGACTGCCCTCAGAGAATTCAATAAGAGCAACTATTTATGATGTGTTACAAAAGGCCTCTTAAGACAAAGCACCCTTAAGACAAAGGCTCTACTGCCTATTAAATACACCAACTGGCTGGAGCAGCTCCACCAATGCCTCAGAGCTGCATCTGTGAAATTTCCCCTCAATTGTCCTTGCAACCAATAAAGACTCATGGGGGGACAGAGGCAACTAGGCAAAAAAGGCCTCTATGAACAATTTCAGATGTACCATCCGGACAATCCTGCTCATACTCCTGCTACTAGACTGCATAGTAAGTAAATCATAAACAGGGAGAAAGCCAAAGAATAGACTACTTTTTCTTACCTCTTTTATGTAGCCTACGCTGGTCCCCAAGCATGAGCTTCCTACCTCATTTTCCCCAGTACTTGGATTACTGGCATGTACCACAGTCCATGTCATAAGATTGTTCTCAAAGCTCAACTATGGAAGTGTTGTGAACATTAACAGAGACACGTGACTGTTGACTGAGGTATTTTTAGTTGTTAGATTTTCTTTTACAGACGAAAGCCCTCCCCATACACACACCCGTTGCAGTACTGGATTGCCTCTGCACTGAACTACACCTCCAGACCTTTTAAAATAGTTATTTTGAGACGAGATCTTACTAAGTCATTTAGTTGCCCAAGCTGGGCTCAAACTTCTGATTCTCTTGAAAGTATTTTATGTTGGAAAGAAAAGAAAATGAATGGATGTTATGGTACAATCTATCTAAGGAGGCAGAAAAAACATCTGGAATACATAATACATGGCTGAGCTACTCTTTCTCTGAAAGAAAAAGGAAGAAATTAAGACTGCATAGATGCACTAAGTTTCAGGAGAAAAAAAAGTAGAAGCAATTTACAACTCTCAGAATAACTAAAAAAGTGATCTATGAAGAGAGAAAAGGAAAAAGAAAATAAGTTCGAAGACAGTGGTAAAAAATGAGGAAGAGTAACTCTAAACATGACAGCATTGTTAATTCGGATCCTGACTCAAATACACTGCAAAAGGATTTAAGTTAAAGTCACAAGCTCGATTCCAAATGATGACGATAGTATTAGATAAAGATGAAACAAAATTGGCCTAATAGTAATTGAGATGAATGAAGATTCCTTCTCTTTTTCAACCTTGTAAGACACTTTCCCTAATTTTTAAAAAGCAATCAGAAACAAAAAATAAGAAATTAAGATAATACTGCAGATAGAAAATTTTAATTTCTTACCATCTTATGTAACACCAACAGATTTTTTTACCAACCTGCTTGCCAACTTTTTCTCTGCATCAGAAAGTTTCTTCTTGACCTTCGCTTTCTTTACATGATCTTGTAAAAGTGGTCTTTGAATCAGAGATGTAGTTTGTTCTTCCTCATCACATTTCCTTTTAGATGTTTCCTTTTAAAAGTTTGAAGTAATTTTTGAGACCTCACCTACTATAATTCTGACCCCCAAACACTAATTTTGCGACCTTTCAAAATTAGCACCTCCCTTTACTCACTGGTTATACTGAGTAGGGAAAGAGTGCTTAAAATTAGTCCCCCTCAATCCCCAGCAGAAATCAGTTTAACCAACGGGCCATTCACCAAGGAGCCAGTGACCTACTTGAGGCACAGGCACGTAGATGGGTCGAACTTGTGGTACCGGAGCGCTGAAGAGGGAAGCCAGTCTCCCGGCGCTGGTTCCAGGAGGGCGCTTGCCGGAGAGCAAGCTCTTGGCGACCTGTCCAATCAGGTAGTCTCCGGCCGCATCCAGGCCGAGGCCGGCATCCGGGTCCTCCCTGGGAACGAAGGTCTTGTTCTTAAGAATGTCACACCCCACCACTTCACTCGCCTGGCGAGCACACGACACCCTAGCCCAGCAACACGCACGACATGCTACTCACCCCCGCTCTGCACTTCGCTTTATCTTCCACTTTTTCGCCCCTTTCAAATCCATTTTTACTCCAAGCTTTCTTCCCCCGCCCGCCACGGCACGGAGGAAGACACTTCCGGGCTCCGCACTTCCGCTCCCTAGCCACGCCTCTTGCGCGAAGGACCACGGTCCTTCCCTCCAGCAGGCGGCAGCCCGGGGAAAAGATTCCTCAGTTCCTGACCCCTAGTTCAGACCTGGTGTCAGGGAAGCCTGATCCCTGGAAAGATGGAGACTTTCCCAGAGCAGGTGAGGCCTGAAGTTTTAAGAATCAGCCGGGCTGGGTGAGAGATGTCAGCGGAGGGAAGAGAATATAGGAAGAATACTCCTTGGCTGTTGAGGGAGGAGCGAGAAATGAAGGTATTCCCGAGCATGAAGGCAGTGCTTTGTACTTTGTAAGCTTTTCTGAGGCTTGACATTATTTCATAATAATTACAAAGGACTGAGGATGTAGCTCAGCGGCGCAGCAAGACCTAGGCCCTAAGCTGATTGCAGTCCCCGCCTCCCCGAAGTTACAAACAATAGCTGGAGACCACAGCTCTAACCGCCTCCATACATGCATGTACGGCTTTAAAATTTTATTACTGACCAGCTGTTCTAACAGAAGTACATATTTTGCTCGCAAAACCCTTAGGGCTGTTTTCTCCACCTACCTTGCCACACTCTTCTCCCCTCAAACACATGGATCCTTAGCTGTATTTTCTCTACCCTGTTCTAGTCATTCCTGACTTTACAGCCCTCCACTTTCCTCTGAAAAAAAATTATACCCATCCTTGAAGACCCATGTCATACTGTCACTGATCAAAGTTACTATTTGCTTAAGGATATAAATCTTTCCCCACCCCCCCACCGTTATACTTACCATAACCATGTTTTGCATGTTACGTCTCTTAAAATGTGAGGAACATGATAAAGATCTATTTGTCTTACATATATGCTGCATCCGTGTTCACTGTACCTACTCAGTTATTTGCTGCACTGATTTTTAGGAAATAAAACAGGCACTAGATATGCCACTAAAATCAGTAGTTTGAGTGGTAAAATAGGATTTGACTTTGAATCTGTTGAAAACACTTGCTTTTGAAAGCTGCTTACACAAGGTTACTGGGAATATATGTGAACTTTTGTTGTCCTATTTTATTGGTGGGGACTCCACAATATTCACCTACTTGGCACTTACTTTGATTAAGCTTCTAATTTTGGAGGCCTGTTGATGGCCTGATATTTCAGAGATGGAAAAATCCATCCATGTATGCATGGGAGTTGAGTATCTGTGCTATACAGTCCAGTGGAAAAAAATCCTCTTCCATATTCCTCAGATTGTCCCTCAACCCCATTCTCTCTCCCAAACATTCCAAGAATTACCTTGTATCCGGAACCCTGCAACCTTATCCTATCTGGCCTTCTGGACTTGACCCTCCATTCTAGCCTGTATTCTAGTGTCAGGTAAATGGCCATTAAACTGACTCAAAGGTTTCATGTCACCAGTCAGCAGAAGCACTGTGTGCCTACATACTAACAATCCTCTATAAATTTACACACTGGTCTACACAATCATGAAATTTAACAATTAAACCTGCACTTAATTTTCTATCTGTCTGTCTGTCTATTTATCTAATCTCCGTATGTCCTATCATGCTAGTCCAATCCCAAAAAGCAGGTTAACCCTGTAAAATGGGAAAATGTATCCAAAATGAATGAAATCACATACTTGTAACAGAAAAATCAGCACTAAAGAGGCTGTGATCAGAACGTTTTAAGATTATCATCACTGCCATTCAGAACTTTTAAAAAACCATGAAGTGACCACTAACCCCTGTGAGGGTTACTTAAGATGTATAGATTTTTGGGCTGGCGAGATAGTTCAGGGCAGACTAAGCACCTGCTTACACAAGTGCAGGGTGCAGGGACTGGGGTCCGATCCTTGACAACACATGCCATGCCAGCTGCATAGTGAGAACCTGTACCGGATGCGTTTTTTAAAAAAAGAATTAAGATACGAGGGTTCTTGATAAAAAAAAAAAAATACAGAAAAACATCAGGTCATATATAATTTTTTTTCAGAGGAAAGTGGAGGGCTGTAAAGTCAGGAATGACCATTTTATAGGTTCTGCTCTACTATATCATAATATCCCAGCTTAGTATGATTAACAAAGCCAGAGTTTAAAGCCAGGTTAACAAAACACAGATTATTTCCGTAGGAATCTACATTTTGGGAAGAAAAAAAATAGTATCTTAATTTTAGCATACAAAGTAAACTACATAAAATGAACTTCAGGTGACCACAAGGGCCACAAAGAGTATAACTTTCCAACAAAATCTGGAATCATTCCCCTACACAACATTCTTGTAACACACCCAGTAGATGACACTAGGATTTTGTGATGAGGTAAGACTGACAATAGGGTAAAGGAAACTTTTTAGCAAAATGTTCCTCCAGAAACCTCAAAAAAATTTAATACACTAACACTATGAAATTTTAATACATTAATATTATGCTAAGAATTCTAAGATGGTCATATGCTATATAGAGAATTTCAAGTGTACAATACACTTCAGAGCATTTCTAGGGAAAATTATTCTAGAAACTCATTTTGGGAAACATTCTACAGATTTGAAAGACAATTTACCAGCCATGGTGGTGCATGCCTGTCTTTACCACCACTGCTTAGAAAGCTAGGGCAAGACAACTGCAGAGTTCAAGGTCAGTCTGGGCTACATAGTGACTTCAAGGCCAGCATAAAGCACATAGCAACTTTTTCTCAAGAAAAACAAAACACAGCCAAAATAAACATTTAAAAAAATGTTGGGGCCAGTGAAATATCTCAGTGGTCTGAAGAGCCTACTTAGGTAAACTTAGGCAAGCACAGGGACCCAGGTTCCATACTGGCACCACAAGCCATGCCAGCCCCACCCCCAGGGTGGGCTGAGCCAACCACAGGGGCAAAAAAAAAAAAAAAAGTTAAACTCATGTCTATTAAAATACAAGACTTTCCTACAGATGCTTTTTAAGAAGGCTTTTTTCTCTTTCTTTTGAAAGGGAGTCTTACTATTGGTCTCCAATTTTCAATCCTCTTGCCTGAGCATCACAAGCAAGTGGGATTAGAGGATCTGTCACCATGCTTGGTGGTAGGTTTTTCTGTTTTCTTTTGGGTTTTTTTGACAGTGAGTCTCAATGTGTAGTCCAGGCTGAACTTGAACTCATTATATAGCCCATCTTATCCTCAAATGCTTCCTGAGTGTTGATATTAAAAAAAGAATTTTTTCTGCTTGAAAATTCAGTAAGTGAACTAAATCAGTAAATTTCAATTCAGATACATACTAAAACTAACAGAGAATTTTTTAAAAGATCATAACCCCTCAGGTACTACCAGACCAATAAAATACAACTGGGGAGGGGGGTGGGGGAAAAAACTATTGTTACCATACCTGGTTGATTCCAATATGTAATTACAACAAATAAGGCAAACGCAAAGGTAAAAGACCTATATAGAGCAAATTAAAATTTTGAAACACAGCTGCTAGTTATGAATTTAAGTGTTTTGGGTGGGGGAGGGATATTCTGGCAGTACTGGAGATTGACTACAGGGGGTCTGGTCTCTACTATTTCCCCAGCTTTTTACTATAATCTCATTAATTCACTAAATTTTCCAGTCACTTATACTTGTGATCATTCTGCTTTAGCTTTTTATCTGATTTTTTTTTTGGGGGGGAGGGGGACAAGTCTCTAGAGAATAAAAAAAAAATTTACATTCAGACTCAAGCAAAATATTCTAGTAAAGATACAAGAAGGCCTAAAAAACTCTTTTAACTGGTTAATGGATGTTTTCTCTCCTCTTGATGCTAGGGATTGAACCCAAGGTCTTAGGCATAGCGTGTGCTTCACCACTGAACTAAGACCTGGTTAATGGATTTCTCATGTTTAATGGTAGAATATTACTTTTTTTGGTGTCAGTTAACCCTTTGTGATAATTTATATTGGCTATTGTTCTAGTCATTACATGCAGAAAAAAACTACAAATACTTAATCTTTTAGAAACAAAATCAAGGATTCACAAACTATGGCATTTATTTCAGAGCCTTTGCTTACATTTGTACAATATATTACATAATTCTTCATTGTTTGCAGATCCTAATATATACTTTATACTTTTATTCTATAAGCTTCTTCAACATTTTGCTGTCAAATCTTTACATTCCTGTACAAATTTGAATAACTTGAAACTGTTTTCAACAAAATTAATTACTGTAAGCACACACTACAAGACTGAAAATGCTTTTCTTAGAAAAGTTGAATGTAAAGGATTAAAGTTTCTGACACGTTAGCATCTACAACAAAACGCTTCGAAATTCTCACGTCGTATTGTCAGAAAACAAATAAAACATGCCAGCCCCATTCAAAAAAAGTACATAGAACTACAATTAAAACAGTAAAACAGTCTGTACAATAAAGTACTGTGTATTAACAGTGCCAGATATTAAATAGCTTCAATGAACACATCCGCAATATACAAATGTCTTACAAAGGTGAAGAATTAAATACAAGTGCCAAACAGAACAGAGATTGGAATCATATAACATAAAGTCAATACAAGTGAAAACAATTTTGCGTTCATTTTGGATTTTATACAAGGCATATAATTATAGGCCTACTGCCCCAATTAGCTATTTATACTTAAAATAATCATCTTTCTGAGACAGTTCATATAAACAACCTTGAACCATACTAACACTTTGTTCCTGAAGTCCTTTTGTTGTAGCTCATAATAAAATAAGCAATACAAATGAATTATCTGTATTTAAGGGAAAAGAAACATTTACAAGAAAACACAAAAATATAACTGTTATAATTCATTATGAATAAATATACACTTTGAACTGGCTAGGTACAATCTATACATTGTTTAAGATTTAATACAGTTTATTAGCCATTTTCTTTTTTCACACAATGTATATCAAAATTAAAAAAAAATACTGATTTATAGAAAAATGGCAAAGTACAGTAGTTCCATTCCAATTTGAAGGGGCATGAAAAGCCACTGCAAGACCTTTTAGCCTAACTCAAACCTGTAAACATGTTCAGTCTTTTTTAAAGAGAATCTTTAATATTTGGTTACCAGGATTGATATCTGATAGCCTGTTAACTGCAGATCTTCATTTTATTACATGTGCTTGACTT